TAGTCGCGTTATTCCGTCAAGGATGAAGGAGAAGTCCTAATGAGAGCATAAGAATTGAGAAACCGCATAGAGACGTACTTCATCGCGATGGATTCTAGACATATAGTTGAGGAAAAGATTGTTTCCAGTACTATCAGGAGTGGTAGAGTCAGAAGGAGTTTTCCCATCGTCAAGATTACGGAAGTCAGCTTCCAAGGTGACACAAAGCATCTGTAAAGCTGCCTCCACGAGGGGTTCTCGAGTATCCGTAAACATGAGATGATTATAAGGAAGGGAAGAGGAAGCAGGGTTGTAGGCGCAAACAACGTTGAGAAGGGAGGTGAACAGGGGAAGAACATGACGGTTTTCGGGACCAGAGAAAAAGGCGATCCACTTATTAACTTCCCTGAGTGCCTCATCTTGAGTGAGGTACATGGTTTCCGAAAAGCAGACCAGGAGAAGACGAATGATTTCTGTGCGATTGGCATCGTGCTGGGCATTTTGTGGAGGCGATTGGGCGAAACCCACACCCGCCTCCCAAATGTACTCACAACTATCGATGGTGTGCATATCCTCAGCATTTTCCTATGGTGATTATTAGTTCACCGATTCAACGTACCGGACCGGATTTTGTGATAGACTGAACAGTGAAATCAGGACAAAAAAGAAGATCCTATAAACGAGGTTATATAATTTCGGATACACTTACACAGAGCGAAGAAATCAGAGTTTGTGCCAGAGGAACACTGCTAGCCTAAAACACCACAAATGACTTCTGCTAACAAAAGCTAACATACGGCATCAGGATTTGAGTCCTGCTGTGCAGGTAATACTGACCAAAAAAATGGTCGCCATTCCGGAACTTCGAAAATGTACGGAATGATTCGAGTGAGTAACCTAACACAGTTGATAGCTACATGCAGAAGTGATTTTCAAATACAAGCCATACCAGTTTGTTGATCCTGTGTAGTTGGGAAAGAAGCTTCAGCTATGTGAGCTAAACGCTCAACCGCTTTGTAGCAAAGTGTAGCTAGATTCCCGGGAGACTCCTCTCTCAGAGTTCTTATTTCACTACCTGGAACCGAAGCAAACATTTCGCTGATACGGGTAGGACCGCCGCACCAAAACTGGTCCCAGAACTCATCGTTATACGCATCAATGGGCTAAAAGATAGTTTGAACAAGTAAACTATACCTGTGTCTTATTCGTTAGCTCAACAAATGCTGATCGATAGTTCAGTACCGATTGGCCGGAACCCATAGTACTGTACAACAATCCAGAAGCACGAACCCAAAGAGTTCCTCACCAATTGGGCAGTTTATATAACGCAACACTTCCTCCATCAATTTAAATGCGAAATTGTCATCATGCTAGTTTTTTCAATCTATTTTAATTAACGGCATCAATGATAAGGGTGTATGACGGCTTACACCTAAGTAATAAATAGCTATAAAATACAATAGATAGTGATGACTAAGGTTTTGTTACCATCGCTACCAAAACATGTGCATATGTATATGTATTTTTTATCATGGTGTGATACTTAGGGGTTTTAAAGTTCAGTGGCACAATAAACAGCACCCTGACGATTTGCCGTACTACGTGTGCCGTGCACATAAAAAGAGCTACTTTATAACTGGAACACTGAGTCTTTTAAGGATTAATGCAATGACGTACAATAATTTGAGCTCTTGGCATCTAAAGCCAAAGTTACTATTCTTTTCTCAGCAACTTCTCTTTAAGTTCTTGAAGATTTTTCCTTCTGTACATCTTCACATGGCATTTCAAAAAATAAGGGTAAATGGGAATTAAAGAGCACTTCGAAACTTTCTTCTAGGTAGAAGAAGGCACTAATTTGATCGATTACAAGTATTCTAAAGATGGAAAAGTCGTTGAACTTTGGCTTTGTTCGACGGCCTGCCCGCCCGTACAAGAGCCAGACAAATACAAAAGCAATGCCTGCCCAATCTCATGCCCTTGAACCTTGACTTCCCTTCTCTTTCAAGCACTGTTCCCAGTGGTGACCAGTAGAGTTCCATCAGGCAGCTTTCTTTTTTCTTCCAACATATAGACTTCGTCTCCGTAACCTACTGGGGAGCATCTGTATATGGTCTAATCTTGTTCTGATGTACTGTTAGAGGCTGAGTAGCGACATCCGCATTGCGAATGAGATAATTAGTGGTCGACAGGACTTTGCTGTCTGATAGGGTTCCCAGCTCCAGGGCCTGTAGAATTCCCGATGCTGTCCTGATGGGGAATCAGTCTACACAATTGCATCACAATTTCCCCACTACCGACATTTATTCGGCTCTGTCTATCGTAGGGTCAATTTTGCCTAGCATATGCATTCTACAGCTGTCTGCGCACAGCTTTAAACACGTCCCTGAGGTTTACCTTCAGTAGCAAGACATAATGAGGCGCTTTATCCACTGGTAGTTTGTTACGAGGGAACAAAATGCAGGCAAGCATCTTTCATGCATTAAAACACAAACAAAATTTTACATTTGCCCTTTCTTTTATTGAGTCCTCACCACAATTTTTGCGCCAGCCACTACGACGTACTTGGTCTTGCTGGAAAAAGACAACCAGCGATCACTTCAATGAGAACAGAGGAGCAGCTCTAATTGGATCCTGAGTTACAATAGCCTCGAAGGCAAAAATTAG